CAACCTAACAGATGACTTGGAGTTGCCTTAATGCCTTTGGAATTCTAGCCATTAATCTAAGCTTAGTACAAGTAAGCACACAATTTAATAACATGTAATCCAATTGGACAATGAATATATTCAGAATCATTTGCCACAAATGATCACGAAAGATATTAATATTCATTAGCAATTTTTATGAGAAAATTAAGATGCTCCTAAATTTTTTTTTCTCAATTTAACCTCAATTCCTGGTCCTTATCATTTAGATTTCTGATAACTTCTTTTATAATTGACATTCATAAGACTTGAAAGGAAAGACGGGAAGTTTGGATCAGTCCTTTTTCCTGAGATATGATTTTCACATCAGCTAAGTGTATGGCACACCCACCAGTGATGATTCCTGACAAGTTTTCTTATGCTGGTAACATGTGGATTTCTGAACAGCCCATTTCTTAAAAAATTACTGTATAAAATTTAATTTCCATTAAAGAAGCCCAAGCAATAATTTCTGTGTGGGTCAAGGAGTATTGCACATATATTTTAACATTCATTTCTGACCTATGCTGTGAATAATTTTGCCAGATGATGGCATTTTAACCACTCCACAATGTTCAAAGAGGAAAGACATAAGTACATTTTTTCTTTTCACATTTTGCAGCAGCTTCCCGCATTAGAAAATACCAGTAAGCTAAGAAATGACGCCAGCATGCAGTAAAACATACTTCTTGTCATCTGCTTCCAGGTTTTCACAATTAATAGACACTGCCATTTCAGCTTTTCCTTTCTTCAGTGCCTGAAATTCTTATTCCACAGGACTACTCATAACATTGATTGGATATGTAGTAATAATGAAGACACTGTAAAATGCATTCCAGTCTATTAAGATAGTTATGAATAAGGTATTAATTTCAGTATTTTTCATCTACTTTAAGATTTCTACCTTTGATTCATTTACTTATTAAACTAGTATTGATTGATTGTCTGCATTCTGCTGGTTATTTTTATCTGAGTTTATCTGCCCCAACAATATATCTTTATTACATATAACTTACAGATGAAGGACAGAGACTCAGAGAAATGAAGGCACTTGTTTACTAAGATAAAGTTGGTAGGGCGCCTGGGTGGCTCAGTCGTTAGGCGTCTGCCTTCGGCTCAGGTCATGATCCCAGGGTCCTGGGATCGAGTCCCGCATCGGGCTCCCTGCTCTGCGGGAGGCCTGCTTCTCCGTCTCCCACTCCCCCTGCTTGTGTTCCTGCTCTCACTCTCTCTCTCTCTGTCAAATAAATAAAATCTTTAAAAAAAAAAAAAAAGATAAAGTTGGTATATTTTATGATTCAAAGTACAGTGTGTTTTCCATTCTCCAGCCTTTTTTTAGAATGTGAGCAGTACTTGCAAAGCACAAACATTTAGTTTTGGAACCAAACTAAGTTGACTTCAAAACCTAAAACCGCCACATACAAACTACATGATTTTTAAAGAATTCTTAATCTCTGAAAGTCTCTGTGTCTTCATCTGCAAAACAGGAATAAAAGTAATATTTTAATAATATGTTTTTAAAATGATATATGCATGTGTAACATTTAATGTATAACATATGGTGTATATAATGTGTAACATATAACGGTGTATGTAACACATTTAGGAAGTAATAGATGTGCATTAATAGTAAGTAATAAAGGGGAGCCTTGGTGGTCCAGTCTGTTAAACGTCTGCCTTTGGCTCCAGGTCATGATACCAGGGTCCTGGGTTTGAGCCCCACATTGTCCAGATCCCTGCTCAGCAGGGAACCTGCTTCTCCCTCTCCTCCCCACTTGTGCTCTCTCTCTCAAATAAATCAATAAAATCTTTTAAAAAAATAGTAAGTAATAAAAATACTGGAGGTAGATTGTATGTACTCCTTTTAGTGGGAATATGGATTAATCACTAGGCTGGGAGTAAATAAATGAGATGTTTAGTCCTTCTTCGCTTGAAAAAAAAATGGTTCTCTAAAGATCTCTCAGGTCAATATTGAAAAAGAAAGACAAAAACTTGCCTTCTGATGAGAGAGAAACAATGAAAGTCTACGATGTAATAAAAATTACAGGCAGTGTTTGGTACTATGAAGGCTAAGTCTTAAAAAGGAAATGATGAACGATGGGGTTAGGATCTAGCAGATGGGGTTGTCAGAGAAGTCCTCTCTGAAGAAGTAACATTGGAATAGAGACATGAATGAAGTGACACAGCAAGTCATACAAAGACCTAGGGCCATGGCAGAGGGGGTAATAAGCTTGTGACTGAACAAAGAAGTAACAGGGAAGATGGTAAGAGGTTGTCAGAGATAGAAGAGGCCAGATCATGTAGACTTCTGTAAGCATTTGGATTTTATTCTATGTGTGTTTGGAAGCCATTGGAGGGTTTTATTGAGAGCGGTGGTAATTGGGTATCAGCAATAAAATGTCTCTCAGGCTACTAAGTGGAGAATAAAATCTTGTGTGGAGAACAGACTCCTATGTGGTTAAGCATGGAAGGTGAGGAGATAAATTAGTTGCCACAGGGCAGGAAAGAGCTAATGACAGCTTCAAGTTAGACTCTGTTAGTTCAACCGATGAATACAGTTTGCATGAAACAGAGAAGAAAAAACAGTGACTTCTGTGTGTTGGTTTTTTCCCAAAGCAACGGGATGAACAGTGATTCCATTTACTGAGATGGGAAGGATAGAGGAACACATTTTATAAATGTCTGATGAATCTCTTAGGCACCAAAGTGGATTTAGCGAGCAGGCAGTTAGATATCTAAGTCAGGACCTCTGGGGAGGGAGTGTTATCAGAGCTCCCAATTTGGGATTCACCAGCCCATGGATGGATCCCATGTGATCCATCCTTAGTAGTGATCTCCAGGGTGGGATTCTCACAATTTCCAAAAGAGGTCCAGAAAGAAAAGATCAGAACGTCATTTTTATATTTTATTCTTGTATTTAACTAATACTACATGATTTGATACCGATGCCCTCACGTGGTGCCTATCATGTATCACACTGCATTCAGGGTACCCTGAGGTGACTGTAGGAATTACATAACAAGGAGGCGTAAAGGGCAAAGCCTCATTTTTTTTCTTCCAACATCATGTGACACACTGGTGTACTTATATCTGCACACAGGAATATATATGTGCATATACATGAATAGATTACCTAGTTTTAAAAATAGCTTTTTAAAATAAACATTGTATTTTTGTATTAACTTTAGATATACAGAAAAGTTACACAGAGGGGCGCCTGGGTGGCTCAATCAGTTAAGCGACTGCCTTCAGCTCAGGTCATGATCTCAGGGTCCTGGGATCGAGCCCCACACTGGGCTCCCTGCTCCATAGGGAGCCTGCTTCTCCCTCTGACCCTCTCCCCTCTCATGCTGTTTCTCACTCTCTCAAACAAATAAATAAATAAATCTTAAAAAAAAAAAGTTACACAGATAATAGAGTTTCCATATATCCATCACTCCATTCTCCTAATGTTACCATACAAGGCCTCGGTTCCTTTGTCAAAACTAAGAAACCACCAATGGTACATTACTACCACCTTTATTTGAGAGAGAAAAATGATAATCTACTTTGATCCAGTAAGAAGTCAGACTAAAAAATCAAAATAACCGAAAAGATTATCTAAATATCATTCTATATACCTTATTTTTCACCCTTAAATGTGCCATGTGCATATGAAAACTTGAGATATTGACTAATGTTTGTATGAAGCCATTAAGATTCCCACAACATATTTAAAATTTAAAATTAGTGCTATTGGTTCAAGACTGCTTGCAGAGAAAGCAGGAAAGAAGGAGACAGTCAGTGGTCATCTAAACAGCAGAAGTAGCAGTACCCCTGTGATGTTCTGCCACAGAGAGGGACCCTACCCCAGTGGAGGGAAGGGAGCTGGAGGACCCAGTGGTCAACACCAGCAGGCACCACGGAAGGCAAAGCCATGTGATTTGATGTAATTGTATCTGGTGACTTTTCTACTACAATTATTCTCCATAGAAATTATAAGAACGGTAGCATCTGTTTCAAGACCATGCCCAATCAAAAGCGACCATCAGATACAAGTACGACTCTAGCCCTTGTGTCACTAAGAAAACGTAACTAATCTCATTTGAGCCTCTGAAGATATAAATCAAAGGGGAAAAACCTAAATCTCTACAATGCAAACAAAAGCTCTCTAGTTTCTCTGACTTGTATTCCAAATTAGTGCCTCTGACCTTTTCTTAAAACCTTAAGCATCACAAGGAAATCAGTGGGAAGGGAATCATGTGCTAACCAAGTACTTAAAGGGCAGAAAAACTCACTGGAGTGAAAGGGGATTAGTAAAGGGTGGGGAAGAGGACCAGCCCCTCCCAGTTTGGGTGAGCAGATTCGGGATTAGTTATCAAGCAGAAACCCACATGGCATTAACAGCTCTGACATCAGGGGAGAAGCAAATATAAAACACTCAGCTCTAAGAGGGGTTCATCAGAGAATCCCCTCCGGAATGTAAGGTACTGGAGAGAAGCTCTATGGGGAGTGGGTGGACTCACACCAAAACTCCATTAAGATGGGAGACTTCAAGTCACGGAAATTAACTTGCTGAAGATCTGCTTCCAATTCTTCTTCCAGCTTCATGGTTAAATGTAATTAATGGCTGTGACCTGCTAATGAGTGCTTTTGTTAAGAGACACCTGTCATGAGTATTTTTTTTTTTAATAAATAGAAATTTAAGATGAAGAAAGCTGAATGCTAGGGCAGGGGCTTTAATTATGTAGGTATTAAACATGTCAAGTTTTTAAAGGTAAATTACTATTTTTATGATTTGCTAGAAATGTCATTTTACAGATATGAAAAGCATTTTGAAGGGGGCTGGGGAGGGCTCATGCCTGTTTGTAACAGTACAGAAAGAAAACTTAGGTAATTCATTGTGTTTTCTCCTTTTCAGCCTGGTTTTTATTTATGTGCTTCAGTCTCTGCGCAAAGGGCTGCAAACCAGAGATTTGTTCTTCACTCTTGCTTAGAGCAGAATGAAAGCTCATAAACTCCTCTCTCTGGGATGCATCTTCTTGCCCTTGCTTTTTTTTCATCAGACCTGGGCTCAATTCCCAAGAGAGTGTGCCACTGTTGAGGCCTTAAGAAATGGTGTGTGTTGCCCAGACCTGTCCCCCTTGTCTGGGCCTGGGACTGACCGCTGTGGCTCCTCATCGGGGCGGGGCAGGTGTGAGGCAGTGACTGCAGACTCCCGACCCCACAGCACCCACTACCCCCATGACGGCAGAGATGATCGGGAGGCTTGGCCCACACGGTTCTTCAACAGGACATGCCTCTGCAATGACAATTTCTCAGGACACAACTGTGGGACTTGCCGTCCTGGATGGAGAGGAGCTGCCTGTGACCAGAGGGTTCTCATAGGTAAGTGGGGATATAAGTGGAGACACAGTTTTTCCTGAGACTCAATGTGTTTAAGAGAAAACTAAATCATTGGAACTGGAAGAATACCTGGAAATCCTATAACTCAACTGAGGAAGCTGAGGCCTGGAGAGGCTAATAAGTTTATACCGTTTAAAGAGTCAAGGCTCAGATCTGAGTAATGGGATTTTCTTCTGAAACACTTACTGGGCAATCATGCTATTCGAGGAACTGTGCTAGGTGTTTATGACTAGACCTTTCAGAAACATCTCAAGGTAGTTATGTTAATTATGGTAAGTGAGGTTCAGAAAGGTCTAATCCATATAGCTGGGACCTGGAAACCCTGGAATTCACCCCTGAGGTCAGTCTAGCTCTAAACCATGAGCTTCTTCCACTGCCCTGGCTAACCCACGACGGACCTGCCCACTGCTATGATCAAGTTCAGCCATTTGAGATGACAAGTCTCGCCTGTGCCTTATTAAATCAATAAATAACAAGGCTCTAAAGAGTAAATCCAGCAATACTCGGTTGTTTTCTATGTGCCAAACATTGGACCAAGGGTTTATTCATTTGAGAGAGCGAGAATGAGAGAGAGTACATGAGAGGGGGCAGGGTCAGAGGGAGAAGCAGGCTCCTCACCGAGCAGGGAGCCCGATGCAGGACTCGATCCCGGGACTCCAGGATCATGACCTGAGCCGAAGGCAGTTGCTTAACCAACTGAGCCACCCAGGTGCCCTGGACCAAGGGTTTAACAAGACTTTTATTGAGTCTTTGTTATGAGCCAGGCTCTGATATAATTTTTATGTGTGTCCTCTTTAATCTTTACAGCTATGTCAAGCAGATATTGTTTTTACATACACCTTACAGATGAAAAACTGAGACAGAAAAATGTGTGCAGAGTCATAGAATAAGTCTCTGGTCTTAACCACTCTGCCATGTTTCTGCAAGGTTTATGATTTTTAAGAAGGTAGAAAGTTCCCCAAATATGCCCATGATGAGCAGAAATAAATATAAGATCACAGAATCATAAAGTCCACAGTTAGATTAAAGAAAGCTAACAGAAATCCTGGGGGGGGAGGGGCGGAGGGAGGGGGGGTGTGGCCCGCAAGAAAACAGGCCTAAAGAAGGCATTTTAGTAAGGGGTATTTTAAAAAGTATAACATGATTTAAGCATGCATGCAAATTATCATTAGTGGGTAAATGGGACATGGCGTTATGATTATGCTCACGAGGCCGATGTTTTCATGTTTGAACCTTCTTGAAGTCAGGAGAAACCTTCTGGACTTAAGTGCAGAAGAGAAGAACCGCTTCGTCCAGGCCTTAGATATGGCAAAGCGCACAATTCACCCTCAGTTTGTCATTGCGACCAGGAGATCAGAAGAAATACTGGGGCCTGATCGCAACACGCCACAGTTTGAGAACATTTCCATTTATAACTACTTTGTTTGGACACACTATTACTCAGTCAAAAAGACTTTCCTTGGGCCAGGCCAGGAAAGCTTTGAAGTGGATTTCTCTCACGAAGGACCAGCTTTCCTCACGTGGCACAGGAACCACCTCCTGCAGTTGGAGAGAGACATGCAGGTATGCAGGAAGCGTTTCGGTTCTCAGGTCCAGTTTGTAAGTCATCTTAACTCACTGGTTCTCAATGATCTAAACATGTGATTAATCTGCCTTTGACATTCTGTGAAGTTTCTCCCTGTACAGATTACTTACTCATTAATTAATTAATCTTTATCTTTCATGAAGGAAAAAGAGAATAACATCAACAACGAGGGAGCCAGTTGGGACATTTGTAGGTGTGATTTAAAGTGTTAGGCGTATTCTACAGCTCTGTAATTGAAAAAAAAAATGATCTTCATATAGCTTGCAACAAAAGACTCTCATTTGCTATGTCTTCCTTCTTGAATGTAAACCAATATCCCCTCCTCCTGGTTTGGATGAAACAAGTGTACATACACTTCTCAGGCTACCAAGTCCCAAATACATCCCCCATTAGACCACCTGATGATTCTAATGTGGTACAGGGTTTAAATTATGAAAAAAAAAATTCTTTTCCATTTATACTCTCATATTTTCATTGAATGCCATTTTGTCCCCATGCCCCGTACCACTTCAAGGCTTGTGGAAGAAACCTAACAAAATATCTCATAAATCAGATAGCATTTTTACTTAAAAGGCATCAACTTTTTTGGCATAAAGTGAACCTCAACCCAAATATAAGTATCTCCTGCTTATTTTTAAGCAGAGAGGCTCAAACCACATTAAAGCATCCCGCTAACATAGATACTTTATTATTATAGTTTCTTTTGCCAATTGCTTTTTCTTGAGAAAGGTATTGGAATTTTCAAATGAAATTTTAAATTATTAGATCTCAACTAGGAAATCCACAAAGTGAACCTGTTTTCTAAGTGAAATGGATTCCTTCCCTCAAATTAAAATCTAAAAATTAATCTGAAAATATCTGAGGGCAGAAAAGGTGCTTAGATTCATCTATTGATTTGCAGTATGCCTGTGTTCAGCATTATCACAAGAAAATAAATGGTTAGAAGAGAGAGAATTAATGCCCTAAAATACAGAATAAAATATTGGTATGAAAGCAGTCCAAACATATGCGGTTTGAGAGTGATTAAATTAATTCATCTGCTACTCTGAACTTCATATTTTATAGCTCTGATTACAAGTAAGACATTTAGTAGATTATGAGTAGATAAATCTGTCATTTGTAATCACCTCCAGATCTCCGTGCCTTCAAGTCATTTTCCCACGGGCACACCAAAACGAAAGGGCAGGTGGAAAGTATCTGAAAGCTTCGATTTTTCCTGTGTAAACTTCGACCTCTATGACTTACATTTTTAAAACCCAACAGCACAAGGGATCCAACAAATTACAGTCTAAATGTAATGCACAGTTGAAATGCCACATGAATATGCTCCAGCTCCCAAATGTCAGTTCTGAACCACAAACTGACTCTTAATGATCCCTTGGAAGCTGTCAGTAATTTTCGTGAACCAGAACAATGGCTTCTAAACAAGGACTCTAAACCCTTGGAGATCAATAACCAAGGATACCTTGGAAAGCTTTTGGTCCTCTAAAATACCCCGAGGACAAGGAGATGCTTCCTAGAAAGGGCTTAGAGTAAAAAAGCAGAAATGTACTAAATGTTTTGGAGGTGAGATAAAACAATGGCATGCTCTACACTCTAAACATAACTCCCCAAAGGCCTAAGGGAATGAGAACAAGTACAATAAATACATGTTTTAGGGAACTCAATAAAATAAGCAGGTGATCTTGAGTCCAGTACTTTTAAAATTGTTGAGGTCAGCTCTGAAGGGAAACTTGGTTCCTGGGCTAAAGAACAGTATGCACAAAGAAATATTTTGCCTCCGTTTAATATTTCCTGACGGTATTTGTTTCAAACAGAAACCCAAGCCTTCACAGTTTATATTCTCAAGCAGGGGTCTTTAAGTAAAACACCTTCAGTTCCCAGGCAGATAAGGTAAGTGTGAAAGAGCCTATGTAACCCATGAAAAGTCAAATCCATGTATCTGGTGCTTGGAAAACCTGGAACATACCACTGAGGTCTGCCTCACTCTAATCTGTAGGTGTCTTCCACTACCCTTGCTAACCCCCAAAACATTTTAAAGGCCAGACTCCAAATGCCTAAAGTCATTTAAGGTAAATTTTAAAAGACAGACACAAAACAAAAAGTACTGCTCTGCGTAACATATTTAAAGGTTGGATCTGGCTACAGACCCAGACTTAGTGATGCTTGAATTAAAGATATGAAAACAGAAGGAGATAAAGAGTCAAGGAGCGAAAGTTATTATTGAGATTTTTTGGTATAAGCAACAGAAATGTAATTACTTGCCTAAAAAGGAAAGGGAAGACTTCCCCCCTCCTAAAAAAAAATCATATGCAGAAACTTCTCTATAATGAGTTGAGTTTCATTCTCTCTAGTGCCTCAATGACTCCTTGTGGTATATGAGAAGATTTGCTAAATAAGGTATTTAATTCCTCTGGCTCCTCAGACACCACGGATATACTCACTCATTCTAATTGCCCCAAGAGAGCTGATAGACTGCCAGGGAGAAAACCAAGCGAAGAGGGAGAATTTTAAACAAAAGCAGAGAACACTAATAATAGTTTCTGTGATCTAGGAAATGTTGCAGGATCCTTCGTTCTCCCTTCCCTACTGGAATTTTGCGACTGGGAGGAACATCTGTGACATTTGCACCGATGACATGATGGGATCCAGAAGCAACTTTGATCCCACTCTTATCAGCCTGAATTCTGTCTTTTCTCAATGGCGAGTGGTCTGTGAATCCTTGGAGGATTATGATACCCTGGGAACCCTTTGTAATAGTAAGTTCCAAATGACATCCAGGATTCAGAATTCCCTACTAGATAAAGAGGTTAAATGTGTTGCCTGAAGGCCCTTCATTCTACTAAGGACTTCAGAAGAAAATCTACTTTTACTTTAGAGAATCAATGTACAGATATATTCCTTGAACACTGGGGCTATTCAAGGCAATCTCTAAGGTTCCAGGGCAGACAGAAAGTGTCTATACATTTTTATATTGCTTCCCTTAAGCAATTTGGTTAGTGCGTTGCTCACTCTCTTATTCTGTAAACGTTCACTCTCTTATTTTGGAAATGTATAGTTATATTAAATTCATCATCCTCTTAGCACACTCAGCACTGCTTAGTAGTCATGTGTCTTGTGCTAGAATTTCATAGAAAATTGTTTCTCTGGGAAACCTGAAATGTGCAGAAAGAGTTGAAGTGCCCAAAGAGTACAATTCTAGTCTGAGGGTCAAAAACAAAAGGTGATGTGAAGGATATCTTTAAGAAAAGGAAGATTCTGGGGCGCCTTGGTGGCTCAGTCGGTTAAGTGTCAGACTCTTGGTTTTGCCTCAGGTCATGGTCTCAGGGTCTTGGGATCAAGCCTGGCATCAGGCTCTGTGCTCAGAGGGGAGTTTGCTTGAGATTCTCTCTCTCTCTCTCTGCCCCTCCCCCTGCGCGTGCGCTCTCTCTCAAATAAACAAAATAAATAAATAAATCTTTAAAAAAAAGAAAAGAAAAGGAAGATACTACACAGAAAATGTCTGCCTGCTAACTACTTTCCATCTCTCTCAAAGCAAACACTTAGAGAGAAAGCTTAACCAGCTGTCTTAGCTAGCATCCTTTCTCCAGTGATTTAAATGCCACTTCTGCCTTAGGCCAAGTTTCTGTTATATGTGGATCTGTTCCTGAGTGTACCATTCTCTTCCTTGGATCACACTATTAGTCTCTGTGGTACTAACACAAGGTCTTAATTATTAGAGTCTCCCTACCCCGTCTTATTTTTCTTCTTCAGGCATGCTTGGTTATTTTAAATTTGTTCTTCCATGTAAAAACTAGATTGGGGGGAATTTATTTTATTAACATATTCATAGTACATTTTACATATATTCTCTTAAGTTTAAAATATTAAATTCCTTTATAAACTTAAAAAAGGATATTCTTAAAAAAAGAATATTCTAAATAGAACAAAAAAAATCAGTAGATTTTTTTCACCATTAGAAGATTGTTTAGCTGTGTATAGGAATAAGGGAAGAGAGAAGTGACAGTGTATTAAGTTTTTTCTATAGAAGTTTAAAACTTAGAATAAATTTCTCATTTGTTTGGCATGCTGAATGAGTGATTCCCCCCCCCCTTGAAATAAAATTGAGAATCAATATATCTTTAGATACCAAAATATTAATCTCTGAGCAGGCTATTGTATTTTGGCCTGGGATTTTTTTCCAGACATTTCTGGTCATACAGATGATTGGATACCAAAGTATAGCACAGCTTACGTGGGTAAATAGGAGAGAAGATACTGTTTCATCACAGTCTTTTGGTCAGTTAGTCTAAGTCTCATAACAGGACACATAGTTTCATGAAAAATTAAGATTATGTGCTTTAAATGAAACAAATTTGAAGATTACTCCTTGTCTTAGTTCAAGATATAAATACCAAGCATTTTATTTATTAGGCCAGTGAAAGAAAAGAAAAGGAAACTAATAGTTGATTCAACACATACTATGTATCTGATATGGTGCCAAATGCTTTAATATGATATCTTATATAATTCTCCTAGAAAGCGGTGCCTGGCTGTCTCTGTCAGTTAAGCCTCTGTCTTCTGCTCGGGTCATGGTCCCAGGTACTAGGATCTAGCCCTGTGTCTGGCTTCCTGCTCAGAGGGGAGCCTGCTTCTCCCTCTGCCTTCTGCCCCCCCCCCCTGCTTGTGCTTGCATGTTCTCTTTCTCTCCCTAATAAATAAATAAAATCTTTTTAAAAAAGTAATTCTCCTAGGGATTCTTTCCTTTCTCTACTGTCTTTGGATGAAATGATCCACTCCTGTGGTTCCATTGATCATCTTTTACAGGACAGCCATGAATAAACATTTTTAAGGCAAATCTTCCTTGCATATCCCATGCCTGTGTTATCATGGGCTTGTTGCACGATGTCTCTCCAATGTCCCATTAATGCACCAAACTTGGTAACTTTGAAAGAGTGAATTAGTGACACCTAAGCCTCTTCTAACCAGTAAAATATCATCGCTGATTCATCACAAGAAAAATGCTGTTTCTACACAGTATTTCCTAAATCTACTTTCTCCTTCAGCCACTCAGAACTTTTTATTCCTTCCTGCGTGAAAACTCCGCAAGACTCCAATCCGTATGATGTTTTTAGGTGCATTGGCAGAGGTTGTCCATGTGCAAACAAATCTAAATAGCCCTGGGTTAAATTAAACTGGTTTAAACTAGTTTCTTTACTATCGGAATTCTCCACTATGAAACTCCATGAGAGCAAATTAGAAATGTAGTGTTTTTGAAACCCATGTAAATTATAATTTTTTCTTGGAATTTATTGACACCTCCTGAACAATAATCCCTAAAACATAAACTTGAATTGATAGTTTACCCAGTGGTATCTGAAAGTACTAATAATAATGCATGCCTAAAAAATGTGCATCTACTTGCCAATCTCATTCTTGGCATATGTTTTATTTTTATATTATATAAATAAATTTGCTATGCTAATTCATCAGGTACTAATCATTATGTTAATTATAATAAACATTACAACAGAGTAAGCTTTATGAGTGAGGTAAGATGAATACAAGTACACGTTGTAATATCACCTCTCTCACCCCAGTGGATTATTCTGCAGATACTCTTAGGACACACACGCTTCTCTGGAGACCACTGGAACAGACAAATGCAAAATGCTCCTAACCAATCTCCTCTCCTCCCACCTACCTACGACTTCTCTTCACTTCCTATTGAATTAAATGTAACTTTCTCCTATTGCTCTGTAGCTTTTCATTGTTCTCACCATCCACTACTGTCTTACATCGCCCTCTACTCCAGGCAAGCCATTTCCCACGCGGACCTCTGTTACAGCCAACACGATCTTTCCATACATCAGCATACAACAAATGATGACTTAGCATCTATTCTATGCCAGGCACTGTGCCAAGATTAAGGGATGTACTGGTGAGCAAGTACAGATAGAGTTCTTGCTCTGACGGAGCTTATCTTACAGATAGGGGAAAGCTTAGCATCTCTCGTTATTACCTCTGCCTAAAATGTTTGACTTGTAACATTTCTCCTGTTTCACCTGAAAATTCTCCTCAGTCCTTCAGGGCTCTTTGCAAATCTCTCTTCTTTAATGGCGCCCTCCTGGAGTCATCCAACTGGAAAGGATTGATACTCTCTCTCCGTCTCTGTCTCTTTGTCTCTCTGTGCCCCTTCTCTACCTTCCTGTCTGCCTCTTCCCCTCTCTTTCTCTCCTTCCCTCCCTCCCTTAAGGCACCTATCCTATTACCCCTAGTATCACAGCTCTTTGTTTGCCTGTTTTTCTTACTGCCTTTTAAAAAGTTTAATTATTGGGGCGCCTGGGTGACTCAGTCGTTAAGCACCTGCCTTCGGCTCAGGTCATGATCCCAGGGTCCTGGGATCGAGCCCCACATCGGGCTCCATGCTCGGCAGGAAGCCTGCTTCTCCCTCTCCCGCTCCCCCTACTTGTGTTCCTGCTCTCGCTGTCTCTCTCTCTGTCAAATAAATAAATCTTAAAAAAAAAAAAGTTTAATTATTTGCTCACATCAATTGCTGTAAAATATGAATCTATTGAAATATAGACCACCTCCCAAAGAAATTTTAGACTGTTTTTATTTCTCTGAAGGCTTGAAACAAATAGCATTTGAGTACAAAATTTCACATATATGTGAAATATAGATTTCAGTGTGGAATTTAGGTTTATGAGATTATTTTGGTAAAATTCAATTTTCCAAGGAATTTTGATGTTAATATATTCTCATTACAGAAGCATACACTGATTAAACAAATACCAGAACCTCTGTTTTGTGACCTTTTTTTTCTTCCAGTGATTTTATGTATCACAAATCTAACTCTGCTTGCATGATAACTTAAATTTTCTCACTGTAATGCCCCTAAGTATGTATTTTTTAAAACTTTCTCTTCTACCAAGGAGAACCTATCTTTCCATGTTCTTGCTATGTATAAAAATTAAAGAGCAAAGATAAGATCTCTAAATATTCTATAAATGTTTACATAGCCCATCCTTTTTCCAGGTACCGAGGGTGGGCCAATTAGGAGAAATCCAGCTGGAAATGTGGCTAGACCAATGGTGCAACGTCTTCCAGAACCACAGGATGTCGCTCAGTGCTTGGAAGTTGGTTTATTCGACACCCCTCCTTTTTATTCCAATTCTACAAACAGTTTCCGAAACACTGTGGAAGGTAAGTAAAAGAAATCAGCGCTTTGAATTCATCTGGTTATCACAGCCCCACAATGAACTGTTCACATTCAGATCTCTTTGAAAAATCTTTGAAAGACACACTGACCCTGTGAATTTACATGATGTTGCCTCCAATTACGACGCAGTCACAATTCTCTGCTCAAGAAAGAACTTGTTAAGTGAAGTGTCAGACCATGAAACTCTTTTTAATTATCATAGGAGAAGCCCTTGGAAATTATTCTTCAATCTCTTAAGTACCTAAAAAGTATTTAAATTCAAATCTGTTAGGTGGCTGATCAACAGGTGTATAACTATATCAAATTCTAATAGAGTCAAATAATATTGAAGACTTTGAGAGCTTATTAAAATTTTTCTTAAAAAATAACAATAAAAAATTCTAAACAATTAGCTGACAGCCAATAAAGCCTGGTTGGGGCATATATTTCATTTAAGTTTGTATCATCCTGTAACTTTTTTTAAAGGTCTATAAAAATTCAACTACCATATAATGATATTTAATTTGATTTTCCTTATTTAAGTCAAAGGATTTTAAAGCTGAGGAAACTAAAGACCAAAGAGCTAAAATGAATATCCCACGATACTCAGTAACAGAGCACAATTTCAAATCCAAATTTTCTAAGTCCAGTGTCTTTAATGATAAATTTTGATATCTCTAAATCATTATTGAAACATATTTAAAGTTTTAAAACAACAGAATCACATTTAACGTATTATAAACCTCTTACTGCCAAAATTCACATTATATACAGCATTAAATATGTTAGACTCTTCCCCCTAAAGAAGAATGGGAATGGATCTCTCTGTCCCCATGATCTGAGATACTTGATATAGGTATCTCATCATTATTTTCAATTCTCTCCCCTTTTATCATCAAAACTGCATGCCATTCTCTTCTATCTTTATGTTAATTTTAATAACTAAATATGAATGCACTGATTCGGAGATTTTCAATAAATAATCACTCTATTTTGACTAAACTGGTGTATATAAACTAAGGCCATAAGCGCTAATTTCTAAAAGAATGTGTAGATTGCATCTTATTGAAACCCAATCAAAAGACAAATTATTCTGATTTCCTGACAGAATGTATGAAAGGACCAGAGCCTACCAACATGCCCTGTATGTTACAGGCAATCTTTAAACATTTTGTAAATAAAATAATGGAATAAATGTATGAAACATGGCTAAATAAATGAGTGAGTGTAATTATACAAATGGGTTAATGTATTTTAAATTCTAATTTTATTTTATAATATGTAACCTTTCCCTGCTCTCTCACCTCTGATTCTTAAAGCCAAACACGCACACTTATAACTCCACCCCACATCATAGACCCTCCATTTTTATTTGTGATCTATCCTCACCTTCTGCCCAATATATATAGACATGATATATATAATATGTATAATATATATGAAAATATGTGTGGAAAATACATATAATATATAATATGGGATATATAACATGAGAAATATATAATACATGTAATACGGAATATGTACATATTATATGGGAATAGCATATATATATCATATAGAATATAGGAAATGTATATATAGAATACCAATAATTGCCAGAAGTTATATAAATGTTTCAACCAATAGGCTCTCCAGATGTTTAAAACTAGTACAGACATGGTAAGAATGCTCTGAGAAATTGTGACTTTTCCACAAAAATAAGATAACTTTCCAAAAATAAATCTGCTGACAGTCAAAAGGAATAAGGTAGGAAACTAAAGCAACATCTGACAATGTAAGTTCTAGGACAATTAGAGGGATGTTCTCCCGATGTGTCAGCAGTTTTTAGAAGGAGCTAGAGACTTCCCTTGTCTTTATTTCCACTAGACCAACGTTTGCCTTGTCAAAATAGTGTGTTCTATATATTTTGACTGGTATCCTTTGCAGGTCATTATTTTTCACCTAGAGGCTACATTTAGCATGTCAGGCCACTGGCTTAAAGCTAACCTAGCTCTGGGCATAGCAGGAAATGTCACCAACCATAGGTCCAGAGAAGCGATGCTATTATATTAAGGTAAAAATTGGCCTGAAAAAGCTTAGGAAAAATTGTTTCCCTATACAATCACTGTTGCTGATTTGAGAAGTAAGATGTTTGTGACGGTTTTTACTATTCTCACCCCTATTTTTATATTTAGGTTACAGCGATCCCACAGGAAAGTATGACCCTGCTATTCGAAGCCTTCACAATCTGGCTCATCTATTTCTGAATGGAACAGGGGGACAAACCCATTTATCTCCAAATGACCCTATTTTTGTCCTCCTCCATACTTTCACTGATGCGGTCTTTGATGAATGGCTGAGGAGATATCATGCTGGTAAGATGTTTTCATATGATTTTTTGCAGGCTCACCAAGGAGACTGCTTAGGTGCTATAGTTATCATTACAGAGTAAGCACTTGACACATCTAAACTGCACTTCAAAATAAGGATAAAATAGCTATGATATCTAGCCGTTTCCAAATATCCCAAACTACTTTGAAAATGCCGATAAAACATCCCTTACAGCGGTTAGAAGAGGATATTTACTAGCATTCACTCGGACTAAGCACGTAATCTCTTCTCATTTGTGGTATGAAAAGATGACTATCATGCTGCCCAATTTTTTCTTCCCCATATCTTCCAATGAACATTGGCATTGCCCTTTTTTTTTTTTGGAACATTTTTATTGTGAATAAAAAAATCTTACTGAGCTCTTCTTCGATACCTAAAAGACAAAAAATTATACTCACAATCCACAGTTTTGATTTTTATTACTTCTGGCCTCCTATAAATGGAAATTTTGTCCAACTTGAAAAGTTAATATTGGTTTTTTATCACAGCATAGAGAATCTCTTTCAACTTCATTTTAATGCATTTAAAAAAAATATTATTGAAAAGGCCATTTTCTCTTCACTTCTATTCAGCCAAGAGGCTCACATTACTTTTCAAATAATGACAGTGCTTCTATTGGTTAAAACATTATACATTTTCATATTTCAAAACTGTTCTAAATTGTGCCTTCTGTGCCTTTACTTCATCACACACACAAATATAATGTTGCAGATTAACTATCTATTGATTTATCTATCCAATTCGACCAGTCTCTTATTTCTTTGTGTGTGTGTGTGTGTGTGTGTGTGCGGTAGAAACCTCTAATCCAACCTGATTATGAGAATTAACTAATGTGTTGATCAAAATCATATGTTCCATCAGAAAATCACTGAAGAAACCAATAACTTACACGTAAATATTCATTCATCACCTGCTATGAATTCACTGATTGTAGTGCCACCTATTTCATATGTATTTACATACATACCTACAACCATAATGAATTATCTACAATTTACAATGTCTATTTTTTAAGCGAAACAAGAAATTAACAACCCTTGAGATGCAATGAGTGCAGTATTATTCTAGATTATCATAATGCCTACCTTATCTTTACAACCACAGTGCTCACTCCTAATTCTTACTCAATATCTCAGGCATTCATCTTCAACAAATATTTCCTAAGCATTCATATATTTAATAGAACACAAAATCCCTCTCTCTCTTTTTTTTTCTTTTTTTTTCTTTTTTAAGATTTTTATTTATTTATCTGAGAGAGAATGAGAGACAGAGAGCACGAGAGGGAGGAGGGTCAGAGGGAGAAGCAGACTCCCCGCCGAGCAGGGAGCCCGATGCGGGACCCGATCCAGGGACTCCAGGATCATGACCTGAGCCGAAGGCAGTCGCTTAACCGACTGAGCCACCCAGGCGCCCAATCCCTCTCTTTCCACAATCATAATTATCATTTTACGTATGTTTAGCTATATTACTTTTATGACAGTAACAAGTAAACTGGAGTTAATAGGTTTAGGAATGAACAAAAACTTCCATTAAACATACACTTCTGGGAACTAGACAACAATGTACGAATTATAGTTATGCAGCCCTTCAAAATGCCAGGGCTGTTAGTAAGTTTTTCTTACTTAACACTTACTTAAGAAGTAAGAGGAAGTGGAGAATCTTGGTTACTCTGGCAAGTCTCTTAAGGGGAGCTTTCTTTCAACCATGAAAACAAGTATTCCTTTGCTTTACATATCTTGATTGAAAAGATCATTATTTTACATTCATAACAATCCATTAAAGGTCATTGATGAACCAGATAAACACCTTTCTTCTTAGTTATTTTCTTCCTGCTCCCTTTGTTTGTGCTATAAATAGCATAAGATCTCTCAGTTACCTGGAGAGTAGTGGAGGGAAAAGCACCATGAACGAAAAATAGGGTACCTGGAGCATATTCTGACAAAATATGGCCATAAAATTATAGGACAAGCCAATGTAAACACTTACAAATTGCATGAACGCTAAACACTAACAATTAACCACCTGCTTAAATAGTCCATGTATCTGCAAATGTCCCTTGAAAAACAATGTCATAGAACAACTATGTTAGAGAAAAAAATAAAACGATTGGGAAGATTTCTAAAATTATCCTTATTGTAGAAGTCTCTGTTGAAAATAAGTCTATGAGTGGAGGATGGAATTATTTTTCAGGGTGTATTAAACAGTTTTTATAGATAATGAGAACTCTTCAAAAATCATAGGATTATAAAATTATTAGGGTCAGAATGGAATAAGAGTTACATTTTACAGCTGAAGGAAATTATGGTCATTCACAGGGGAATGTCTATTACAGAATCCTCTCATTAGACCTGAGGTAGAACAGTATAGAACATTCAAACCTTATTTAATATAATGTTAATTTTTATTCACTAACATTTTGTATCCATGTGCACATTTAATTCAAGTCTCTTTTTTTTAAGTGAGAATTATGTGAATTAAATTTTAAATATAGTACTCCAGAAGTTCAGTTTTTTCAGAAGAAGCAGTTTATACATTTCCTAGGACCAATCACTACTATTTTGCCCCGAGAGAAACGAAGTAATTACACGTAAACTCAAATCCTTTCACAAATATTATCTGATTCCATATCCTGGCTATTGTGAGTGACGCTGCAATGGACACAGGTGCAGACATCTCTTTGAGATACTAATTTCATGTCTTTTACATACACCTCCGGAAGTGGCATTGCTGGATCATATGGTAGTTCTATTTTTAATTTTTCGAGGAACTTCCATTTCTTTTTTTTTTTTTTTTTAAGATTTTATTTATTTATTTGAGAGAGAGAGAATGAGAGAGAGCACATGAGAAGGGGGAGGGTCAGAGGGAGAAGCAGACTCCCCGCCGAGCAGGGAGCCCGATGTGGGACTCGATCCTGGGACTCCAGGATCATGACCTGAGCCGAAGGCAGTTGCCCAACCAACTGAGCCACCCAGGCGCCCGAGAAACTTCCATTTCTGTTTCCATAGTAGCTGCACCAAGTCCCACCAACAGTGCACAACAGCTCCCATTTCTCCACACTCTTGCCAACGCTTGTTATCTCTTTTCTTTTCGATAATCACCATCCTAAGACGTGTGATCTCTCATTATGGTTCTAATCTGCATTTTCTAATGATTAGTGATATTCAGTACCTTTTCACATACCTGCTGACCATTTGTAAATCATCATGTCACACACCTTAAATATAGACAATTTTTTGTCAGGTGGACCTCAGTAAGGCTGGAAAATAGAGTATGAGCACCTACTGTTCCTTACATAGTCCTCTAGGTACCAGAAACACAGTAGAATAAAAAACGCACAAAAATATTTTCCCTCCTGGAACTCTCCTAGTTGTTAGTAGAAATGACAGTAAAAACATGTAAATAAATATATGGTATGTTAGATCGGGGAAAGTCTTTGTAGACAAAGAAAAGCAGGAATGGGGTTAGGGAGTATGAGGTAAATGCATGAGGGAAGATCATCCCTAGATGAACAAAGGAGTCCACTGTGACTGGAGCAGAGTGGAGAGTGGAAAGAAAATGATGGGAAATAAGGTCAGAGGGACAACAAGGGGAGAGACTGAGGGATGTTGGATGAACCTCTGAGATGGGGAGCCACTGAAGGGTCTTGCATAGGAAAGTTTCATGACAATTCTACTGTTACTGTTTGTTATTTTTATGATTATTCCTCCACTCATTTTAATGGGTATGACTTTATCACACAGCTGACGCTGAACTGAGTTGAGGCTGATCAAGTCAGGTTCTAGTAGAAAGGTGAAATGGAAAGTTAAAAAATTAGATCTAAATTATTAACTTTAATATCTAACTTTAATAAATAATTAAAAATAATACACCAAAATGTGAGTCCCTTGAGACCTCAGGCATTTTGTCTGTTTTGTTCAGTGCCATCACCTCCATGGCTAGACCAGTGTCTGGCATTGGAAAAAGCTCAACAGATTTGAATAGATAAATATTTAATTAGCATTAATACATAGTAAATTTAAAGTCACAAAAATATTAACACTACATACCATTTTTATGATCAATTGTTTTTTCAAAGTAGACGCTAAAACACTCTTCTATGCTTCCCAGGATCACAGTGACTGTTCAGATAATATACTTCCTGCAAACAGAAAAATCTAATACTCTGTTAGCCTTCTCACATATTCCAGCTCTTCTAAATATATTCCCACTTATGTCCTGCCCAAGCCCACTTCCAACTCTGGTTTTGAGTTATCCCATCTGGTTTAGTTGCATCAACATAAATGCAGAACAACAATAGCAAAAAAGAATAATCTTTTGCCACAAAGAGCGTATCACTCCTTTTTTATCCCTGATGACAGAAACTCCCTAATAATACAAACACCTGTAACTTGCATTTAAGTAGAAAGAGGAGGGGTGGCAGGAAGTAAATCATATTCCAGGACCTTGATTAAAAATTGTAAGTGTTTTTTCTAACAGAGTAAAATCTGGAGATAGGTTAATATTTATATCTCTGAAGATAAACAGAAAAAGTGAAGAATACTGAACAGATATATTCACATTCAAGGACAAATTTCCATTAGATACAGTACCTCTCAAATTTAAATTTAAGATGAAGCTACAGCAAACTACAGGTCCATCTTTGGAAAAATAAGTCCAATGAATTTTTTCAAATAAGTTTCTGTAATTTAAAAATCAAACAATTAGTGATCATCATAGATGATAAAATACTAAAACTTCCCTGCTTTTAAACTTTTTTGATCTATTGAATGATATGCTAGTGCTGTATTCAAAGCATTTGAACTCTGTTTTATGCAATTCCCTTTTCTGCTGTAGTGAAACTATTTTTATGTCTTTATGCAGTGTAAAATATAAAAGAAATTTTTATGTTATCCTAGAATATTTCAGGTCACCTGCAGAACATAATAATCTATTAATACTAACTTTATTATGTCTATTAACAAGATGTCTTTGGCATATTTTAGATGCATCCACGTTTCCACTGGAAAATGCCCCAATTGGGCACAATAGACAATACAACATGGTGCCATTCTGGCCCCCAGTTACCAACATAGAAATGTTTGTTACTGCTCCAGATAATCTGGGATATACGTATGAAGTTCAGTGGCCAAGTGAGTATTGAAAATGTACCTTTACTGTGGAAACTTCCCAAAGCAAATTTGTTGCCTTTTAAGGTAGTCACGGTATTCTGTGGCCTATAATTTCCACTTAGATTTAGAAGGTGTTACGTGGATTTTTATTTCGGGATAAAGAGATTGAATTTAACATTTGTTGAGAGCTTGCTCTGACCTGGAATTGAGTTGATTATATAGCACACTATCCCATTAATCCCTGCCACTCTCTGAGGTAACAACTGCAGTCCTCACTTTACAAATAAGGTAGAAGGGGCTAGCCATGATTAGCTTAGAAAGGGTAATTGTCAAGGATCACACTTTTAGTGGGCAGGGAGAATGAACTTTGAGCTTAGGCCCACGTAATACGCCCCAAGTTCTCTACTACATAATTGTGCCTCATTATCTTTATTATGAGAAAAAAATGGAGTGAGATGCTCCTCATTGCTTTTTCTGAGATTTTGAAACTGAAAAGTTTCTTGTTTAATTTCCAGTCCCTTCTCAACAAAGGCACTAGGGTGGAAGAGCGCACCCTTCTGGTGGATTCTGGAAGACTCGTGCTCCAAAACCAACCCTAGTGCCTTCTAACCAAGGCACCCAAGTGGCTCAAACCCTACAGCACCACTTTCTCAACCTTTAGAATGGACCCAATAGGGTCCACTTATTATGAGAAACTGGGACGTGCCCTCAAGACGACAGGTGCTATCATCAGCAGTGTGGCCAGTAAAAATTATATAGGAAGAATTTGGTAAAATGCCTGCAACAGTGCCGAAGTTTAGGGTGTCTGATTTTCGGTGGCAACTATTTTACTGTTTATTCTTTGTTTTCCTTTTATTTTTCCAATAGGTCGGAATTTTAGTATTTCTGAGGTTGTTACCATTGCAGTAGTCGCTGCTTTATTACTGGTTGCAGTCATTTTCGGGGGTGCTTCTTGCCTGATTAGGGCCAGAAACAACATGGACGAAGCAAATCAGCCTCTTCTCACGGATCAATATCAACACTATGATGAAGACTATGAAAAAATGGAGAATCCTAATCAGTCTAGGGTCTAATGATAAAACCAATTCTCTTATGTATTAGTATCACAAAAACACCTTGTTGAAAAATAATAGGTTAAATTTCTTCCTTTATTTACTTTCCCTCTGTTACTTTCTTCCTTATGCGTGCACAATAGAATTAGAGCTCTAAGTATTGTTTTTCAAAACTGGGAAGAGTTAAAACCTTTTTTAATGGGTTCTATGTTTCAACTCTATTTAAAATGGTAGGTTGTATGTTAACTAACCAAAATTTAAATAAGAACTTGAAACATTAAAAAAAATAAATAAAATGGTAGGTTGTAGGCACTACCCTAACCCCTAACCCTAATCCCTAACCCTAAGCCTAACCCTAACCCTAACTCTAACCGTAACAGTAACCCTAACCGTAACCCTAACTCTAACCCTAACAGTAACCCTAACCCTAACCCTCTGGAGAGGTCCCTGAACGGCAAAATACCAAGCACATACCCTAACCCTAACCCTGAATCTGAGAAAGTGGCTTCCTGAACACATGACAAGAAAAGCTGAGAAGCAGCCAAGTTATCCTAGAGAAGACCCCAACATTTAAGAACTGGTAGTATTTCTGAAAATGGGTGTGAAGGTAGAGATTAAAAAAAAAAAAAAAAAGGTAGTTTGTGCCAACTCCATGGTATATAAGCAGAGAGTGTGAAGATTTGGGGCACGTTTTAAAAGTCAATTATATGACAATGTAAATAAGCTATTGTGCTTTGTGTATAAAGAAAAATCATGATAGTAAATCTCTGATTAAAATACAGGAGTAGGAATTTCTACAATGTTAAAATGCAAATACCTTTCCGTTTGTTGACATTGAACAACAGATATATAGGAAGCCACATTTATTAATTAAAATCAATTACGTGGAGCTACAAATGGGATCCCAATTAACTTTTTGAAACTAGAATTCCCTGGGCATCAGCATACATTTTAGTGTAAGGGTCAAAGTCACAACAAAATCATAATCATTGTCCATTTTGAAGTGATAAAAACTTCACTTTGTTTAAAAGACAATTGATACTGTGTCTGATTGCTACTATGTTCTACCTCTCAATTCACTGAAAAAGGAACTACCCATTTATACATTTCACCTCCCAGTTCCTCTTCCAGTATCTTAGAGGTCCACAAGCCAGACACAAAGGTGGAGAACACACAATACGGTGTTCTACAGTTACCATTCAATTGATTGTGTTGACTCCAAATAGCATTCTCTTATCACTTAACAGCCTTTTGTATGTTTTCAGAATAAAATATTAAAAATATTATTCCCTCAGCCCCCTTTTCTATGCACTCGTGCAAGACTCTCATTAATTTTTTTCTTCTTCCTATCTTCTAACATAAAATATTTTTACTATTTTTGATCTTGGGCTACGGAAACTATATTCCCAAAGAAGAATTTTAAAGTCTGGTCAGTCTGAACAAACATTTTCAATAAAATCAGCAAAAGAAATACTAACAATAGTAATCATACACTATAGAAAATGGGGAGTCTGATATTCCCAACTCAAGAAATAGAAACAAGATTAACATTATATACACACAGGGGTGCCTGGGTGGCTCACTCGGTTAAGCGTCTGCCTTTGGCTCAGGTCATGATCCCAGGGTCCTGGGATCGAGTCCTTCACTGGGCTCTCTGCTCAGTGGGGAGCCTGCTTCTCTCTCTCCGTCTGCGTCTCCCCTTGCTTGTGCTCTCTCATTCACTCTCTGTCAAATAAATAAAATATTTTTTAAAAACTTAAAAAAAGGTGATGTACAAACAATGGATTACTGGTTTTCCCTATACTAAGCAATCTTAAGGCTATGTACACAAGATAAGTAGACAAAATGTGATAGTGAAAGAGAATGCATGTACTAATAGTATCTTTTAAATTTTCAAATAGCATTACTGAATTGATTTTCTGAATACATTTGATTTATTAAAATATATACTCATAGCTTTTCAGATAACTTATTGTATAATGTAAGGTTTCATTTCATATAAACATCAATAAAACCAAGTCCACCACATCATATTTTTAGAGATTTTTTTAAAGATTTTATTTATTTATTTGACAGAGACACATCAAGAGAGGGAACACAAGCAGGGGAGCGGGAGAGGGAGAAGCAGGCTTCCCGCGGAGCAGGGAGCCCGATGCGGGGCTCAATCCCAGGACCCTGGGATCATGACCTGAGCCGAAGGCAGACGCTTAAGGACTGAGCCACCCAGGCGCCCCAGAGATTTTTTTAAATACTCATTTCATAAACATTTATTGGGCTCATCCTGGATTTCAGACATAGTTCCAGGTACTGTGGATTTGGGGAGGGGAAAGTAAGGAAGATAAAATTGAGAAGGTCACATTTGATGTGGGCTTCAAGGAAAGCTAATGGATTTACCAAACTCAGGAGCAGAGAAGGGTACTCCATGCAGAAATGACAGCAGGAGCAAAGTGACAGAAGTTTGGATGAGCATGGAACATTCAAAAATATAAAAGTAGGTCAGTGTGGTTAGAGCATAGTTTTCATGGGGAGAGTAGAAAGATAAATTGGGAATAAAATTGGTGTCATATATGAAGTCCTAAGAAATTTGAAATTCATTCTACAGGTAAGAGGGAGCAGGGAAGAGTCACAAATAAAGGATGTTTTACAAAGATAATGATGGTGGTGATGTTTGTAAATAACGTCTATTAAGAATACTTTGGAGGGGCGCCGGGGTGGCTCAGTCGTTAAGCGTCTGCCTTCAGCTCAGGTCATGGTCCCAGGGTCCTGGGATTGAGCCCCGCATAGGGCTCCCTGCTTGGCGGGAAGCCTGCTTCTCCCTCTCCCATTCCCCCTGCTTGTGCTCTCTCTTTTTCTCTCTGTCAAAATAGATAAATAAATAAAATCTTTAAAATAAAATATAAATAATTTTAAAAAACTAATTGTAAGAGAAAGCTACACCCATTATATTGTAACTGTAGCTTTGATTATTTCTCCCTAAATATTTTGCTTTATTTTTCTTCCATTCAAGGACTTCTGTTTCTTTTACAGCACTGTCTGATCTTATGACTTATCTTGATCAGGTGACCATTAGTCTTCTGTAATATGTCATATATGATCTTATGTGTTATCTTGATCAGGTGACCTTTACTCTTCTGTAATATGTCATATCATTCTCTTCAAATATGTCATATCATTCTCTTCAAATAATATTAGCTTGCAATCTTGGATACTTTCTACTGTTCTCGGTCCTTCAGTTCTCTTATAAAACACAGTCAATGAAGTTATTATGCACTCACTAGAAAGCCCATTCCACACCACTTAAATAGACCTTGCCCTGTTGCATCAGCACCCATTATTTGCCAGGGCCACAAACTGAGCTAAGTGTTATAGTCTAAACAGAGTGAGAAGCCTGGCTGGATCTTCTTATATAATCAAAGATGAAAAACTATTACTTTTGTGTCCCTCTGAAGGTATATACTATCTTCATTCCTAGAAGCAGACCTCAGAGACAGTGCTCACTTTAAAACTGGATGTAGGGAAAAAAGTTTTGACTGTTAAAATACCTATTCCAAGATTCGGTCATAAGACCTTTGTTCTGAGCTCAGCCCATGACTATACGTCAATGTTATGTATTTTGTCCTTTGCCTAGGCAAAATTTTTATTAACCAACCAGCCAATGGAACATCATGTTGGGCAGAGAAAGCTAATATGAAATAGAGAAAGGACAAAAAAATTTTAAATATATTAGCAAACCAAGAACAGAGCCTGATATAAAAGAGATAAAATGTAAAAAGGAAAAACGCAAAATCTGGCACCTCAAAAGCACAAGTGCAAAATTAAACAATGAAGGAAGACAGGAACTAGCAGGATTCTTTACAAAATAACCAGGAGATTTTAGTAGATTTCAAGTTCGGTGTAAGTCAATAGTGAAATGCAACTAATAAAGGGGGGAAATGCTATGCTACTGAAAAGTGAGGAAAAGTAGTGTGCAAATGAAGATATGCTGTGCTTCATAATACAGAAACAGAAATCCGTGGTGTTAGAGTCACATCTGGAGTATCTATTCCACTTTAAAACCACAGTTTAAGGGAAACGTTGACAAACTAGAAGGTGCTTCCTCATCTTTCACATGATACAATGCTACAGTTACCGGCCCAAGAGAGAACCTTGGAAGTCACTCTTAAATTCTACCATCCCTCTCAATCCTCACATCTAATTAGTTAACAAGTTTGTTAATCCTGAGCATTGAACCCATCATCTAAAGTAGGGGTTCCAACTGGAGGGCAATTTACACCCTGGAGTCATTTTGGTGTGGGATAGCTACTGGCATCTATTGGGGTGCTGCTAAACATCCCACGATACTCAAAATTGCCTCCACATTGAAACATTAATCAGCCCAAGATGTCAATAGTGCTGAGGTTAAGAAAATGTGATCCAGAGCTACAAGGATAAACAGGTTTCACAGTGTTCCTGGCTTCCTAGAACTTAGTACCTAAATGGGAAAGAGTGGCAAAAAACAATGTACTTTATTAGCAATACATTATAGCCTCAAAAAATAAGTTTAAAAGGTAGAGAGTCCAAGCACAATGCTACTTTCAAGGATTCAAGCTCTTTCTAATTTTCTTCCACTACCCTTAGTGTGTGGTCTCTATCCTTTTATTTATACTGTCAGGGCCGCAAAATGGCTACTCCAGAAATAAAAGGCATCCAAATCGGCAAAGAAGAAGTCAAACTCTCACTCTTTGCAGATGATATGATACTTTATGGGGAAAACCCAAAAGACTCCACCCCAAAACTGCTAGAACTCATACAGGAATTCAGTCAAGTGGCAGGATATAAAATCAATGCACAGAAATCAGTGGCATTCCTATACACCAACAAGACAGAAGGAGAAATTAAGGAGTCGATCCCATTTAAATTGCACCCAAAACCATAAGATACCTAGGAATAAATCTAACCAAAGGGACAAAGGATCTGTACTCAGAAAACTATAAAATACTCATGAAAGAAATTGAGGAAGACACAAAGAAACGGAAAAATATTCCATGCTCATGGATTGGAA